TAGCAGGAGGGAGGGGAAGAGTTATGAAGATGCAACAGGCACTGTGCAGATGCAACAGAAGTAAAAAGGGTCAAAGAGTAGAATTTGCTTCTCCAACATCTTTTAATACCTACTTGTTTTCAAAAATCTCAGCTTTACACATACTGTTTCCAGTTCCCTTCCTTTCCTTCCTTTGACAAAAACCTCCAAGGCTTCTTCCCTTTTCCTTTCCCTTTATATCCCATCATGTTTGTGGCTGCCCCTACTGTGATCCTTTCTAAGGGAAAATGGGTATTACATACTTCTAAACAAATTATCTTTCATAGCTTTTTTTGGATAGCAACTTGCCTTTAGGTTGGTGCCATTTATGCATAAGAAGTTTTTGTCTGTATATTGCTGTGGATATGAACATTAGGTCTGGAAAGCATAATTGCCTGTCTTGCAATCCGAGTGCAGCACAATGCAGGGAAATAATTAACAAATCACTCATCTAGCCAAATGCTAATATTTGCGTTCACCATTGATATATAGAGAGCAAAGCTGCTGGTGGAAATACTTTTCAATTTTATTGCAGGCACAGATGATATCCTGAGAGAGGGAAAGTAGGTCTCATCCTAGCCCCAAAGTGATCGCAGTTATATTTGAAGTATTGTGAAATGTTCAGGGGTTTGTCTTTGCGATTCTCATTGGAGTCACTAAGACTGTTTGCTGATGTCCCAGGCAGGGCTTAGAGAATTAAACCATGATATCACAAGACTCAAAATGTTCTGTGCAAGACTTATGAACAAGAAGCAGCTTCTGTTTGGCTTGTTAATTCACTGTTTACCTGAAGATTTAACTGACACATTACTGATCTTAGCACTTATTAATTGGACACCTCAAATTGATAACTATGAGTAATATTTAGTCTGTCGCTTTTATGTCTCTTCCCCCCCTGCCCCTGCTAAATTGTCAGGAATATTATTGCATTAAAACAGATACATACCAGAAGCCCAATTCCACATGCTCTATTGTTTTGCATCCTACTATGTGCTCACCTACTCCACTCCAGAATGACTCCATTTCAATTAGGTGATAAGTAAAGCATGTAAAATGTTTTCTAAGCATTTCTAACCCTAATCTAATCTGTTTTATTACCTTTCCATGCACTTGACCCCTTTTCATTTTCTAGTGGTTGAAATATTAAGATGCAATTATTAAGATGCTCAACAAGGTATAAATAAGTGCTCGTTTAATAAAATGAAAGCAAAAACTTACAGTAAGAAAAGAAATGTTGATTTTAGTTGTCCTGAGAATTAGAAAAGAGAAGATAGACACTGACTGGTGAAGATACGAAATATAAAAAAGCCACGTGAAGATGAAAAAGTGCTATTATCTCATAGATCATGTCACCTCTCTGCAACTACAGTGTTGTGCTCCCCCGAGGACACAGGTTAAACTGATAGTGCATTACAGAACTCTTTTGCAGCCCTTCCTTAGGCAGGCAGCTTCTCTTAGTGCAGTTGACTCCTAATGAACCTTTGTCGTGGGTTCAAAGATACCAGGTTTGAAGTCAAGTGCTCTTCAATTAAAGATATATTTAGGTAGGTGGGAACAAGTAGAAATTGCTATCTAAATTGAACTGCATTGAAAAACTGCATCCACCTTGTTTTTGAACTTCATTAACAAAGAGAACCAGTATTAAGAGAGAGGGGAAGCGTACCTGTGGAAAGGAGGACAATTAAAAAAATACCAGAATGATGTACTTGGTCATCATTAAAACTGTTTTGAGTTTTCATTTTGAAATGAGTTTTTTTGTTTCCATTTTTAACTTTGAAAATATAGAAGAAAATGTCTACAAGTTGAAATCAAATTAATTGCTTCAGAAAAACAATCTTGATGGAACATTTCAACATCAAATCTAAAATATCACAGTCATTTGTGAAATTTGGACTTTCATCCTCTTCATAGCCCTACTAGGCAAGTACCCTCCCTGAGTGTTTGGAATAAAATAATTTTGCAATCAGTGGATTAAAATGTAAACCTGGACAAACACGTTTACAACAGCACCATCATCACTTGATAAGCAAACTTGTGTTGCTGCAGGATTTGATTCATCTAGCAAAAGAGGGAGCAAAAAAAATGTCCTGAACGTGCAGATGTTTTTCCCAGAGGAGTAATGGCTCTTATGTAAATAATCACTTTATTCTGTAAGTGCATACACTTTCATTCCACAAATTGACTTCACCTCTTCTGCCCTTTTCTCTGGTGCAAGCCTCTGCTAAATCTAGCAAGCCTCATCATTCTTTTTTTTAAATATCAAAGCTATAAACATCCAGAGCAGAGTTATGTAGGAACCTTATTGTTTTAAAGTAACATCTTGAAACCTCGAAGTCAGTGTGAAATAAAAATCTTGGTTGGATAGCATTGTGAATGACAGATGTAGCTTATCAGTAATGTGGAAGAAATACAGATTTTTAACCTCATCTTCTGTGGTTAGGTAATGAATGAGGAAAAATAGACACAATAAACAACAGAAGTGATGGAGTAGTTTGGTAAATAAATTCCTTTGCTGCAAATACAAGTATTTTCCAGTTATGCATCAAACATGCAGTATGTGGTTGTCTGCTATACCTCTGTACATGACAAACGTCGTTTACAGTGCTGAGCAACTTTGGCACTAAAATTCATGATAAGTGAGCAGAGCAGAGGGGACACTTAGTGTGTGCTCTGTCCAGCTGTGGTCTTGAGTATGCCCAGGTCCCCCGTGTAACTTCACAGAAATACCTGGGTGTACCCAGAAATGACACCAATGGAAGGAGGATCAGAATCTCCCCCTAAAGCTTTCATAAATTGTTGCAGTCAATTTTCAGCAACTCTGACTGTGTTCTGGGCTGCAGCTGATTGTTTTAATTTTTTTATTTTTTTTTACTTTCTCTTTTGTGATGTCTTTCATGGTACATGTGCATGTCTCATGAATATGATTTATTGTTTCTCTTTTTAAGCTAAAATGCGTGGAGGAAGGGTACAGCACTCACTCCTGAGGGAAGATCAGGTAGTAACTCGCCTGAGGAAAGTTTGTTCTAGGCACTTAGTGATTAGCTCTTGTTCTTAGAACTGGAGGGTATATATTTCTCAGATAATTATGTCTTAGGGAGTATATTGTGATATATTCCAGCTGTAAGTATCAATGTTAGTGCCTTTTACAATTTTCTAGCCTCTCGTTTCAGGAATGCTTTGTCAGTGAATTTCACAGGTTAATTACCTACTGTTTAACAAAATGCCACTTTTCATTGTCTCCTCAAACTGTGTTCATTTTCATAGAATCTCGTTGTGAGGTAGGCATCTATTACATCACCTTTGTTTTCGGCTCTCAAAGTAGCATAAATTTCATATCTTCTATATGGAAATCTTCCAGTTTCTGTAATGATTACTCCTTTTTCCTAGGGTTTTTGTTTGTTTGTTTACTCCTGCTTATGGAAATACTTCATGTGTGGCAGCTAAGGCTAAATACGGAGCTCAATGTGAAGCTAGGTATTAATGCAGGGATTGCCGCTATGGATGAGCCCAGTTTTTGTCTAGCTCAGCTTTCTGTCTCTGATAGATGCCACTGGGAAGTATTTCAGAGGAAAGTGCAACACAACCCTCAGTAAGGAAATAATGAACCTAGCACAGAAGGTCTTCCACTGTCAGTTTTTTAAGCTGTGCCATGATAAATGAAAATCTGTATGGCTACTTATTTTTACCCAATCTAAAGCAGCTGTTGGGTTTTTTGTTGTAAGTATAAATATCTAATCCTTTCTGATATCCTGCTGTTCTCATAGTCTCAATGATGTCGTGTAACAATGAGTTTGACCTCAGGTTAATCAAGTACTCTAGGAAAAAATGTTTGCCTTTATCAATTTTATGTGTGTTGACTTTTCAATTTCACTTAATGTCCAGGAACATAGCTTTATTTCCCTTTTTCTAACATTCATTATTTTTTAAGCCTCTGTAATGTCTTCCCTTATTCATCTCTTGTCTAAAGCAAACAATTCCGAATGTCCCAGTCACTTCTACTTGATTTGTATGCTTTTAAGTATTTTTATTTAATTTTTGTACTTGTCCTAATTTTGAAATGCACTTTTTAAAGATGAAAATTCCAGGCATAATCCTGATCTGTAGGTTAGCAATAGGATATTACTTGTATAATTCTGATTCTTTTTACTATTTTTACATTTTTCATTTCATTTTCTCTGGTGATCCCATGTGTACTGGAAAGATTTCAGGGGGATGTTCAACACTATGCAGGTTCTCACAACACCTCCCACAAACACATCTTTGCTTACCTGAACATCCTAGGGTGCTTCAGTTAGCATTTGTCATGGTGCTTGCTTTGTTATGTTCCAATGAAAGGGCAAACTGTGTGTTTTGAAAGCATTTTAGTTGGGTTTGGTTTTGTTTTTTAAATTATCATGTATGTATATTTGTTAAATACAGGTGAAAGGTAGGCATTTGGAGTGGAGTGTGGTTAGTCCAGTAGTGACCTGCCCCTTTTGAAACTAAATTGTCTGAAATGAAGCCCATGTTTCTTCCTGCAGAGAGGTTTAAATTATGGCAGTTGCTATACAGTTTAAGCTATTAAGTAATAATCTTTTGAGGAGTTGATCTTGAGATGCTAAAGTAAAGTTTAGTCTCTGCATTTTAAAACACTTCTAAGTCCCTTTTTCCAGAGTGCCGCCCAAACCTGAATTTGTCTAGTTGTGGCTGATGGTCATCTATGAAAATGCAGTTTGTCACAAGGTACTGGAAAACGGATGATCTCCCAAGTCAGGGCTGCTTCTGTAACTGGTGGCTTTTCATCAGTCAAAGAAATTATATTGAGCTTTTTCTCACATTTAAGAAGACCTTTATAATTGCGAATGTAGAAAAACCATGGTGATCACTAGAAAAAGTCTAGGCTATGCTTAGCTTTCACTCCTGATGAAGCAGCATTTTTTCATGAAATTAGAGCTGAAAAATAGGGGTCCATGTTTCTAATTTTTTTTTTTTTTTGTCTGCAGATCTAAACGTCCGGTGCCAATTTCAACCACAGCACCCAGAATTGACTCTCCCAGGGCTGTAATTCCCCACCAGAAGGTATGTGACACATTTCTTCTTAGCCAAAGTTAATACCATTTTTATCTACTGTGGTGAAGGTAAATACTTACTACAGGAAATAGCTTTTGCCCACCCCAAATAAGTAAACATTGAATGAATGCACAGGCAGCAAAACTGCCACAATGCAATGGATTAGTGGTCTGTATTTTGCTAATTTCTGATTAGCAGAACCAAAGCATCCAGCTATCCTCTGATGGGATCTGGTCTAACCCGTTCTGAGCAGTTTGTTTTCATCTAGGCTGCAAGAGGCTACCAAAGCTTCTCAAAATATACATTTGCTTTTGTAGGTTCTTGGGGAAAAAATATTAGACTGTGCCTCTGTGTATCCAAATCCTGACTACAAGTGAAAAGACACTGATTTGGAAAGAGGGCATTAGGGCATTTGAAGGCTTGCATGATATTGCATTCTTGTCACATTATTCAAAAGGCATGAGAATAAAAATAAAGAGGGTAAGTCAATTTAATGAATAACAGCAAGTAGCAGAGGAAATGGATGGCTTGGTTTCTGTTGTCAAAGCTTGTCATCTTCCATAAAATAAATGTTCACATTAGAATAAACAGCATCCATTGACTGTACCTAGCAACCCATCACCTGTATCTTTGGAGGCACTGAGGAGCAAGGATAGCTGAAAGATGGTATATATCCTTAGGCTCAAGAACTGGGTAGGACATTTGTATTGCTGACGCATTTAATTAGGTAAATGGAGAGGAGGTAAAATCTCCATTGCTTCAACTTTATCCCTTCTGTGAGTGCCAGTTTCATCTCTAGCATGTAGTATAAATAAGAAACACTGAAGATCAAAATGTGTGGGGAATTAGGTGATGTTCTACTGGTTTTGGCAGTTCTGACTTCCATAGATCAATTTTAAGTAATTTTTATAAACACCATGCTTTCCAAATTCAAAGCTCAGAAGGTAACATCATCACTGTAACCACTGCAAATATGTTCACACTAACAGAAGAGAATGCACTTGGGAAGAATAATTTGATTCAATTTTATTTTGTCAAATTTGAAATGAACCTGTCTGGCCATTTATTAGCTGAGACAGAAATAATGTTATTTTGCTCTAGATCTTGTAAACTTTTTGGAAAGGGAAGATGAAATTAAGAATTTATCTTGCTCAGAGTTGTTTCTGTTTGTATCATGGTTTTATAAAAGTTATCTTGGGGAAAGTTATTGGAAGAGGTACCAAATAGTACTATGAAATTCCTAGAACAAAAACGATGGATCATTTAGTTAGATGGGTGTTCAACTGCACCAGCAAAGTAATAGGGACAGGAAGGGGGAGAGAGTACTTATTTGCCCTCAAGAACTACACAGAATGCTGTTAGTTTTCAAGGCAGCAAGTAGACATGTCTCTTCAGAGTTATTCACCAACACAAGACTGAGAACTATCTTTTGGGACCCTCAGTAGCACCTGTGCAGGTATGACAAATTTGCCTACTTCCACCACAGGCACATAAAAACTTTTATACGTCAGATATTCATGACTCTGTATTAGGTGCGTTTCTTCCCTGGCAAGTGTCAATTTTAAAATTACTGCCACAGTTATTCAAAGCTGTTTACCATACAAAACATTTTTCTCCCTTAACTATCTACCCTATAGAAAATTTAACTCCACACACTGTAGGTTTTTTTTAAAGGTCCTAAAAGTGCCTTTGGCATGAAAGCTATAAAGTCACTTTATATTTCCTATTTTAACCCTTCAGAGAGAGATGAGGATCAAAGGACTCAATCCTTTTTCAGGACAACGTTGTCTCACACTTGAGCATTCTGTGTGTCGGTGCTTAGGAAAGGTTTATAGGAGCTGTTGGAGGCAGCCTATTCTGAACGGGTTACAGGTAGTACTTGCAGCTGGAAAAGACATTTACTGGAACCTTTCTGGAGGAAAGGGGTGGCATCTAGGAGAAAGTATGGTGGGAAACGGGGTATCTAGCAGTATTCAGAAAGGTCATCTTAGGTGTAGGGTCTTTGGCTCGGGGGAAGAGGTAGTAGTAGAGTGCTGGAGTGGGGGGCCCTTTGCAGGTCAAGAGGAGTGACGTTTGTGTCACTAGTATACACGAGTAGACAACAGTAATTTTTACCTGAGAAAAATTCTTCTCTGAGGGTGGTTTGGAAGGGAATGGAGGCATTGAACCATTGGAAAACTCTCAAAATCCGGAATAAAAAGTCTTTACTGATAGAAACAGTGGTATGGGGATGTTGCAATAAGGTATGTTACAGTAAATATACTTTCAAAATCAAGGTTTCTTTGCTTGTCCCTTTACTATTTCTAGTAACAGTATCACTGTAGAAATGAAGAATTCCGTGACACGTAGGCAGAAGCTGTCACCTCCACATCACTGCTTGACAGTGTTTAGACTCTGATGGTTCACATGAAATGAATTCGATTGCATTTCAAAAGACAGCAAAAACTACATTACAAGACAGTCACGACAGTGTTGTCCTCAAACATCAAGAGAAGTTTTTCTCACCTTTCTCTGAGTCAAGGTTAAGGCATGTCAATGTTAGCTGAAAAATCTGCATGTGCAAGTTCAGTGTCTAGTTTAAAAACCATAAATTCTCTTGTACATAATTGCTGATCTGATTGCAGCTTCCACTAATTTTCAAGCATGTATTTCTTCTTTGACTGCTACGGTAATTTTTTGTGTGTTTTAGGTAAATAAGCATGCATTATTTTACAAAGATGTAAGGAAGGTATGAAAACCCTGGAGTTCTTCACCATGATAGAAATTTTTCTACATTCCACAAGTAACATATATTCTCTCCTTACTTTCTGGAGCTTATCAATGTTATGGATGATACAGGTTCTGCAATCATGAGTATGGTGTCAACTGAGCTGTAGGGCTATTATTGGAAATAAAAGTTTGACTGATTCGCAGTTTCACTCTTTCCTTATATGACATTAATCTCCAACTTAAAACAGTTTTCATTTAGTTTAGTCAAATCTTTTTTATTTAGTCAAAAGATTTAGTCAAGTCTTTTACACAGGTGTGGCATAGCTGGAAGAAAGGGCATAACTAATGCTGAAAGCATTCAAATAACAAGAAGAGTAAGCATGAGTCCAAGAATTGAAACTAAGCCATCATCCATCAGTGAGTTCCTGCAGCTTTTCAGGAGGGGCACAACACCGGTGAAGGTTCAGCTCCATCCAGTTCAAAATGTTCAAGCTGAAGCTTTAAGGCTAAGCATAGCTTGAACATTTGTCCCCTTGCATAAAGGTATTAAGACAGCCTCTTTACATTTTAATAATACGGCTATGTGTTGTCCTGTTTATGAAACAGTACAGAACACGCTTATTTCAGAGTCCCAGTGAAGATCTCATAATGCTTATGATTTCTGCCAAATTTGGAAACCTATGTGGCTAAGAGAAAATAGATGAATAGGCGATTGACTTTTTAAGTAAAGCATAGGATGGAAGAGCTGGCTGAGCCAAAAGCTATTTGTTGGATGTCTTTGATCAGAGTCATGTAATGCCATGGTGCCATTTCCTTCTTTCTATAAGAAGTTTAAAGCAACATCAGCTTCTTGGGCATGTTGGGAAGTCAAATTCATTAGTATAGTGTTAAAATTGTACTCCCAGAAGTGCAAAAGGTGAATAAAGACTGTACGGTCATAGCAATAGATAAATAGAATGTGGTCTGTCAAAGGAAGAGGACCTGAAAAACTGGTATTGTGTCTTCCAATATAAATTTGTTTCTCACTTCTCTGATATATAACAAGGAGCATTTGCCTTGCGTAGAAATTGAATATTTATAAAGAAAAGGATAATAATATTTCACAATGGAAATTGAGCTGATTCTTAGCTTCCCTCTGTTCCCAAATGTTTGAGACTCCTCTACATTTATCAGTTTTAAGCTCAATTCACAGACATTACACTGGGAAATTAAAACGCAGTTTTCCCCTCGTAGTAAGGGATTGCTGCAGGATCACAGCATCTTTCTCGAGGGAAGAAGCCCATTGCCCAGTGTCAGAGCCTCCTCTTCTGGTCGACTGAGGGGTAGCATCAGATTTACATAGCTGGAAACGTTTGTTTGCCTTTCCAGCCACGGAGACTGAAACAGAATGGGATGAGAGAGATGGGAAACAGGGGGACGTTTGTTACTGTTGGCTGCATTTCATGTGAGGTAATGCTCAAAGCCGTGCTGCTGCTCAGTATTAGAAATTTGACCTTCGCATTCAGAAATGGTTTCAGAAATACTGCATTTGTCTGGTTTTGCCACTGAACTGGAGAAAAAAAAATTCTAAAATATCCTACCAGGAATAATCTGAATGAGAGATTCTTTGTCAATCACAAAAGGAAAGAGCTAAATAAACTGATTATCAGGCAGTAATTCTTTGGAAGAAGTTATACAGCTGCTCTCAGACACTTCCTGTTTCATCCCTTTGCCCCCTGAACACAGGGAAAACTACTACCTTAAAACTACCATGAATATTAAGTCAAATGGAGAATGCTACCCTGGCACTGCTGAGCTCCTAGGAATTCTAGTGCTGAGTTACCAGCATGCTGGTATTCCAGCTAGAAATTGTTTGAGGAGTGAAACCAAAACTCCATTCATGTCATAAAAGTAAGCAAAGTCATCAACCATCATTTTTTATGGTGGTCCTATGATTTTCCTTTCGCCTACTGTTAGTGTCCAGTAACACCAAAACCTTGAAAATGCATTAGAATTAAGGAAATATCTGGCATTTCTCTCATTAGCAGTTGAAACTGATACTTTATAATCAGATCTCCTTGCATGCCCTTTTATTATGGGGTTTAGAAAGGAAACCCGCAGTTAGCTTGGAGAAAAGCCACTGAGTTTTCAGGGTAACAAACAAATATAACTCCGGCATATCCTTTTTCTTCGCTATTGCCTCTATTTTATTTTTTTAAAATATTTGTTTTGTCCCTCTCTGCTAGCATGCAAAACTCATTTGCACAAGTGGTGACTTAATTTATGAACACGGCCTTGTGCATTTATGCCTCTTTTACAAC